AATATTTATTATTATTATTATTATTATTATTTGGTCTTTTTGAGACAAGGTCTCCCTATAGCCCCAGCTGTCCTGGAACTCACTATGTAGACCAAGCTGGCCTTGAACTCACAAAGATCTGCCTGCCTCTGCCTCCCAAGTGCTGGGATTAAAGGCGTGCGCCACCACGCCTGGCCTAAAATGTTTATTATTATTTTTCTTTTATGTGTATGCGTGTAGTGCCTGCATGTAGGTAAATGCACCCATGTCATGCAATGCCCATGGAGGACAGAAGAGGCTGTCAGATCCCCTGGAGCTGGAGTTACAGACAGTTGTTAGCTGCTATGTGGGTGCTGGTATTTGAACCCGGGTTTTCTGCAAGAACAGTCAGTGTTAACTGCTGAGCCATCTCTCCAGCCCCTACATTTATTTTATTTATGTGTGTCTGTTTGAATGAATGTGTGACATCAGAGCCTTAAATCAACCGCAGAGCCCTCCTATGTGCAGGGCCCTGAGTGACTGCACCGATTGCATGTGGCTGTGAAACCTGCTGTGGAGCTAGAAGTAAAGATCCTGGCACCAAAATGTCTCTTAAGGGGGAAACTCTGACCTTACCTTATTCACAGACTTCCTTTCAATACTTTGGATAATTCGGGTCTTTTGCTTAATGAGTATTGTGGAGGTAAATATTCCAGACATCCTGAGGTTGAGAGTTTATTGAGAATCCCCAAACATTGTGACGCAGGTGTCAGCCTCAGACCTCGCTTCTACTCCCCATCATTCCCCTGCAAAGCTCTTACCAGGGAGCTAACTCAGTAGAGCAAATGGGGCAAAGACCATCTGTCACATTCCAGGAGAGGGAAGGGAGTGGATTGTCAGGTAAGATGAGATGTTATACCTGGAGTCTAGCTAGGTTCCATGCTGGGCAGAGATGGACATACCACCATGCCCCAGAGAGGGTCATTTCAGGCTCTGGGATCCCAATGAGGTGTACTGTAGACCATTCATTCCAAGAAGTCCTTCAAAAGCTCCTGACACATTTCAATAGATTTGGCACTTTCTCAGTGAGGGGCACCCAGGAGAACCACCTTCCTGGAACCTCTCATTCTGGATCAGGCTCCTTGAGCATGGGAATTTATTTATTAATATATACACGAAGGGAAGACATATAAGTTCTTCAGGTCATTAGAAAAAATACCTGCAGGCTGGGTACTCTCACACCATCTTTGTCTTTTCCAGCAAGACTGAAGGAGAGGTAGCTGCAAGGGGCAGTCTGGGCACAGGGGTGGCAGGCATTTGGGCCGACTGGGGTAGATGAAGTCTGATCTTTTGCTGGTGAATCTGCAGCTATTCTGATTCTCTTTATCCAGACTCAAAATTATCCAGAATTATCTGGAATGCTCAGTCATAACTCTGCCTTTCTTTCTTTAGAAAGGAGGACCAACTAGCATAGGCCTGTTGGTAGGCTGGGGCTTCGGACTGCTGGAAATCGTGAGTCCTCCTTTGATTCACTCCTCTCTCAAGTTGCTCTTTCTGGGGGAATGTTCTGGATGTACCACCATTGTGTGAGGGATCCAGAGGAGTGCCACAGTTGAGGCAACTGGACTGTGTCCCCAGAAGTCCTGGTCCCACTTATAGCATTGTAAGCTAACTGGGAGGACACAGGAGGCAAGGCTGTTGTCCTCAGAGCTGCTACTGAGACACATTTATCAGACCAGGATTTCTAGTTGAGGAAATGAGACTTCTAGTCCTTTCTGTAGACATTGTAGATACCATAGGAAGAGATAAATCATTTCCTGGAGTAAGAGGTAGGAAAGGAAAAATGGCAATGAGCCAGTGTGATTCTGGAAAGAAAAAAAAAAGTTTTCTTAGAACTTTTAAAAATTTATTCATTTTCATTTTATGTGTATGATTGTTATGCCTGCACGTATGTAAGTGCACCCATGTCATTCAATTCCTGCCTGCGGAAGACAGAGAGGGTGTCAGATCCCATGGAACTGGAGTTACAAACAGTTGTTAGCCACCATGTAGGTGCTGGGATTCAAACCCAGGTCTTCTGCAAGAACAGCCAGTGCTCTTAACCACTGAGCCATCACTCCAGTCCCTTTCTTAAATTAAAAAAAAAAAAAATGGCTTCTGCAGGCATGGTGGCACATGTCTTTAATCCCAGCACTCAGAAGGCAGAGGCAAATGGATCTCTGTGAGATTGAGGCCAGCCTGGTCTACATAGTGAGTTCCAAGGAGGCTGGGGATATGGGAGACCCTGTCAAAAATAATAATAATAAATAAAAATTAAATTAAAATTGGCTTCTGAAATGCCTAAGTCAATCAGCTCTTTTTTCCCCTCTTTGTGATGCTGGGGATTAAGCACAGGGCCTTTCACGTGCTAAGCAAGTGCTCTACCAGGAGCTACACCCCTAGCCCCAAAGCCACCTTCATCGTTTCTACCTAGTAGAGCCAGAAGCGCTTGGGTAATTCACAGTCAGTCTCCAGAAATTCATTTTACCTATACAGCAATCATGTTCCTGCCACCTTATTACCCCAAACACTTGAGATGGGTTATTTAAAAGCAATCAAGTCAGCTGGCTAGAGATGGTATGTGGTAGTAGTCAAGAAGTTGTGTGCCAAGAGTTGGGTGTGGTGGCACATGCCTGGAACCCAGCACTTGGGAAGCAGAGACTAAGTCTTAAAAAAGAAGAGGAGGAGGAAGAGGAAGAAGAAGAGAAGAAGAAGAAAAAGAGCAGCAGCAGCGGCAGCAGCATGCCTTTAGAAAATAGTTGTTCAACCACTTTGAGCCTTGGCTCCCCATTTGAAAAGGAATAACAAAGTCTTAAGGACTGAGATAATTATGCAAAGCTTTTAGTACATCAAAAGCAAATGTGGTGCTTCGGATGTTGCCAACAAAATTGAGATTATCTAAGCAGTCCAGCAGTCTAATTCTAAATTCAGATTTTTTTTTTCACCACTAAAAAAATAAAAGCGAATGTGGGGCTGGAAAGATGGCTCAGCAGTTAAGAGCACTGGCTGCTCTTAAAAGCTGAGCTTGGTGGCATATGCCTTTAATCCTAGCACTTGGGGGGCAGAGGCAGGTAGATCTCTGTGAGTTCAAGGCCAGCCTGGTCTACTACATAGTGAGTTACAGGTCAGCTGGGGCTACTGGGAGACCGTCTCAAAAAGACCAAAAAAAAAAAAAAAAAAAAAAAAAAAAACTGCTATTAACAAGAACCTGGTTCTGTTCCCAGCACCCACATCACAGCTAACAACTGCACCATACCTTCAGATTCAGGGGATCCACCACTCTCTTCTGACCTCAGCAGGCATTGTATGACATGGGTACAATTACATACATTCAGGCAAAACACTTATACATATAAAATAAAAATAAGAAATAAAATATTTTTAAAAAGCCAGTGTGTCTTGGTTCAATCCATGCAAGACTTAGCAATATCATCATCATCATCATCATCATCAAAACTACCTACCTTAGCAAGCTTTAATCATCTTTGCAACCTTATTAAATGTGTTATATAACTCCTAAATCCTGCCTGTTACACACATATGCACCCTAGCCTCAGTGACCAATCCATTGTACATATGTGCTCAGAGAAAGGATTATGAGATTATAATGATTTTGGCAGAAAGATGAAAGAAATTTCCAGGGACCCATTTCTTTCATGGGTCAGGACAGGCTTTAAATTCACAGCAGAGTTGGTAAAGAGGAAGAAATAAGTATCTGTTTGTCCTGAGTCCATCACTTGCGTAAGGTTGGGCAAGCCATTCCATGTCCTAACATCTTGATTTTCTTTACCTGCAAACTGGGGATCAAGTAACATCTACCCTGCCAACCTCACAGCATTGCCATGAGAGTCCAGGGGCTCTGGTACATGAACTTGATGTGTAGAAGGTATATTGTTATTCTACTTATCACAAAAAGCCTTGGTCTGCCACGTGGACCCCTGTCCTGCTCCCTCCTTGACCCCATCATTGACCATGCAGAAACCCTGCTTTCACACCAGTTGCTCCATTTTTGAATCAATACATGATACATCAATACATGAGAGTTGGGCATTCTGCTGAAATAGTTAATCTTTTCTGAGCTTGTTTCCTTATTGACAATCCTTGTGGTCTGATAAGTTTGGAGAGAGGTTTTTAGAATCCATTATTTACCCTGAAAACAGAGGACCAACTCTGAGGTCTGGTCACTCCACATGGTATTCTCAGAACCCTCTCTGCCTTTGCTCTCTCAGCCTCCTGCAGAAATGCCTTCACTGAAGAACCATTGGCTATGCCCTCAGCTCTGACTCAAGACTAATATGAAAAAGACATTTGAAAGATGGGTGGTGAGGCTGGAGACATGGCTCAATGGTTAAGAATACTAGCTGCTCTTGCAGAGGACCTGGGTTCAGTTCCCAGCACGCACATGGCAGCCAACAACCATCCATAACTCCAGTTCCAGGGGATCTAGTGCTGTCTTCTGGCCTCCTCAGGCACTGCACATATGTGATGCACTTACATACATGCAGGCAAAACACTCATGTACATAAAATAAAAATAGATCAAAAATTTTTTAAAATAGATGATAGGTAGGTAGGTAAATGATAGATGATGGATAGATGGATGGATGGATGGATAGATGATTGATAGATGATAGATAGATAGATAGATAGATGATAGATAGATAGATAGATAGATAGATAGATAGATAGATAGATGGTATAGATTTGAGAGCTTGCAACTTTGGCGTCATAAATATCTGACTCAAAGCCAGGGATGGTGTCTTACACTTATAATCCAATCATGTGGGAGGCTGAGGCCAGAGGATCACAAGTACCAAGCTAGTTTGAGTTACATAGCGAGGCGAGAGGGGCAGGAGAAGGGAAGAGGGAAGAAAGGAAGAAGGAAAGAAAGAATAAAGGACGTGGGGCTAGAGAGATGGCTCAGTAGTTTAGAGCATGTACTGCTCTTGCAGAGGACTAGGCAGGCACCTACCTAGTTCTTCTCACATCCTTTCTGAGCAGAGATCAGGCAGTAGCTGTGTGCTTTGGGTCCTGTGTACCCGGGTCCCTCGTAGCACCTGAATGGCTTCTGCCAGGCCTCGGATCCAGACGGGCCTGAGTGGCAACCACCAGAAGATCACTCAGAGAATCGGCATGGCTGTGAGAACTCTGCAAGAGGAGGAGGGAGGACACATCCAGCTGCCTCATCTTGATAGAGCTGCGGCTATGGGAGCACCACTCCTGGGGCAAGGAGGGGTTTTCTGGAAAGGCAACGTCATCGGCATCATCAATGTATGCTTTTGGAGTGGGCACAAATTCCTGGTGAAGGTCACCTTCCCACCATGCCCTAAAACTGGCTAAAGCTCTTGAAACCAGAGTCAGCCCTTGTAGGTAGTTTGTGTTTCCAATGATTGGTATAGACAATAGGCCTCATGTGAATGAGAATCGGGAAATGCTGGGTTGAGTATCCAGCACTCTGTTTACTCTTCTGCTCAATCAGACTAGAGACTCTCTAAGAGCATGGGTTATGTCTCCACATCACACTGGAGTCTCCCTGAAGGAAAGGTCTAACACTCCATCCCTTAGGGCTTCCCAAACATAAGGCCTGTTTCTATTGATTCCTCTCTCCTTAATGCTGTAGTTTGGGCCTCCTTGCTGTTGTTAGTTTTGTAACTTAAAAATATTTACTATTTATTATTACTGTGTATATGTGAATGATATATATATATGGACGTGCATATGTGTGTGTGGGAGGGGGTGTACATACCATGGCACACACGTGGAGGTCAGAGGTCAGCTTTGTGGAGTCTTTTCTCTCCATCTACCTTTATGTGGGTTCCAGGTAACAAACTCAGGTCACCAGGGTTATGTGGCAAGCACCTTTAACCACTAAGCAATCTCACCAGTCCTGTTAGTTTTATTTATTTATTTTTAAAACATTTAAAAATTTTATACTGGGTATGGTAGTGCACACCTTTAATCCAAATACTTGGGAGGCAGAAGCAAGCAGAGCTCCATGAGATGGAGGCCAGCCTGGTCTACATAGCAAGTTTCAGACCAGCTGGGGCTACAGGGAGACCCTGTCTCAAAACATTTTTTTTTAAATTTTATTTTTATTTATGTGTATGTATATGGACCCACTTGTCTGTATGTGCACCACATGCATGCAGTTGTCTCGAAAGGACAGAAGAGGGCATCAGATTCTCTGGAGCTGGAGTTACAGGTGGTTGTTAGCTGCCATGTGGGTGCTGGGAACAAAACCCAGGTCCTCTAAAGAGCAACAAGTGCTCTTAACTGCTGAGCTATCTCTCCAGCCCCTTTAAAACTTTTAAAAATTTACATCTACTCATTTATTTTATGTCTATGTGTGTATGTGTGTGAGCCTACACATGCCAGCACATGCATGTGAAGGTCAGAGAGCAACTTTTAGAGCTGGTTCTCTCCTTCTAGCACACAGGGATTAAATTTAGGACATCAGACTTGGCAGCACGTGCTTTTACGCACTGAGCTATCTCACTGGCCTTTATCTTTTTTATTAAGTGTCTTGCTGTATAAGGCAGGCTAGCATCAAACACATGATACTCTTGACTCAACCCCCTGACTGTTGAGATTTCAGGCATACACTACCAGGCCCAGACCTAATGATATAGCTTGGATGTTGAATGGCCCCCAAAGGCCCACAAGTAAGTCTTGTCCCCAGAGTGGTGCTACTGAGAGGACATGGAACTTTTAGGAGGTCTTTAGGTCACTAGGTGTATACCCTTGATGGAGCATGTAGGACCCTGGCCCCTTCCTCTTCCTCTTTTGCTTCCTAGCCATGAGATTTGGGTTGACTATACCCTCCCCACCATTGCCATCCAGGCACTCCTGCCCCATCAAAGCCTAAAAGCAACAGAACTGCCCAGTCTTAAAACTTCAAAAGCCATGACCAAAATAACTCTTTTCACTTTGTAAATTAATAATCTCAGTTATTTTGCCACAGTAACAGAAAGCTGACTACCACACCTGAGCTCCTGGCACACCCCTGTGTATACCAGCACTCACGTGACTGGTCACTCAGCAACGGCTTTGGGATATAGGGAGCTGGGAACAAGGAATGCTTCTTCCTCATCTGAACCTTTTGCAGTAGCTCTGACATCAGATGCTGCCTCTTCATGTCATTCTTTAGTGAGCTCCAGTTCCGGTTCAGACTCTGTGAGAAACTCCTGGGTTTTGTAGACACAGAAAGTTTTGCTGTTTTCTCCCAGGCAAACTTCTGGGAGGTCTTCTGCAGCCTGTATTTATAGGAGACCAGGCTGATACTCTCTGGGTTACTACATTCAGGGCTGGCGGTCAGGCTTAGGCTTGCCAGAGAGTCCAGAAAGGTTGCAAGCCGAGTGATGGGTTCTGGGGAAGTTTCTATGGAGGTTAAGGGCTGAAAGGGAAAGCAGCCCGAAATGAGATCTCGGAAAGCAAAGGCTTCCCTCCTTGTTCTTCTAAAAAATGAAATGAGCAGAAATGGTTACAATGGTAAATCAAGAGCTAGGTTCAGCAGTAGCAAGAAAAATCTAGGCTCAAATATTTTTCTAACAATAAGTTGGTTAAGCACTAGGCCAGGTAAGATGGTAAAAGGAATCTACAGCTTCTTCTAGAGGTCTTTAAAGATGAGAGAAATTGTAGCACTAGATTTTTTTTTTTTTTTGTCTTTTTAAACAGGTTCTCCTTGTAGCCCTAGCTGTCCTGGAACTCCCTATGTAGACCAGGCTGGCCTCAAACTCACAGAGATCTGTCTGCCTCTGCCTCCTGAGTGCACCACCATGCTTGGCTAGCATTAAATATTCTTTCATAGCTGTCAGGCTGGCAAAATTAGAAAGCTAGATAATGCCAGAGTTAGCGGGTATATGAAGGTATACAACCACCTGCTGCTGAGAATGTAGATTGCTATAAATATTCTTAGAAATAATGTGAGGAATACCCTGTGATCTAGTAATTCTGCTACTAGGTACATACCCTAAATAAGATATTAGATAACTCCTTTTTTTTTTTTTTTGGTCTTTTTTTTGAGACAGGGTCTCCCTGTAGCCCCAGCTATCCTGGAACTCACTATGTAGACCAGGCTGGCCTTGAACTCACAGAGATCTGCCTGCCTCTGCCTCCCAAGTGATGGGATTAAAGGCATGCGCCACCACACCTGGCCTAGATAACTCCTTTCAAAATTACATATTTGACTGGGCATGGTGGCACATTCCTTGAATCCCAGCATTTAGGAGGCAGAGGCAAGCAGATCACTTTGAGTTCAAGACCATTCTGGTCTACACAGCAAGTTCCAGGCTAGCTGGGGCTGCAGGGAGACCCTGTCTCAAAAAGACCAAAAAAACAACCGTATTTGGGGGCTAGACAGTTGGCTCAGCAGTTAAGAGCACTGGCTGCTCTTGCAGAGGACCCATGTTCAGTTTCCACCACCCACATGGTGGCTAACAGCCATCTGTAACTTCAGATTCAGGGAATCCAATGATGTCTTCTAGCTTTTAAGGGCACCAGGTACACACATGATGCACATACATACATGCAAGAAAACACTCATACACATAAATTTGTATTTTTATTTTGAAAATATTTCATTTATTTTTATGTGTATGAGTGCATTGCCTGCATGTATGTAAGTGCACCCATGTCGTGCAATGCCCATGGAGGTCAGAAGAAGGTGCTGGATCCCCTGGAACTGGAGTTATGTACAGTTGGTTGTTAGCTCCCATGTGG